AGAGATCATGGAGTCGTAGTAGATAACTCACTGAAAATGTCGCTCGCTCACAACTTTAATGCCAGTAGCTCACCAAGTAGAATTTTTGCTCACATTGGCTGGAACCCCTTAACCTGAGACCCTGGAGAGCTACTGCCAGTATGAGTAGACTATACCGACCTTGATGGATCAAAAGTCTGATTCATTATAAGGCAGCTTCATGTGTTAAGGGAGGTGCTGTGGGCTTGGTGGAAGAGCATCCGCCTGGTACGCAGAAGGTCCCAGGTTCAATCCCTGGCATCTCCAGTTAAAAAGAGACCAGGTAACAGGCAGTGTTCCCTCTAAGCTGAGTCAGTGTGAGCTAGCTCGCAGTTTTTTAGCCTCCGGCTCCCACATTTTTCTCTTAGCTCAGGAAGGATGGCTCCAGAGCAAACCAATTGATGCAACAGCCCAATCACCTGCTCACAATTTTAATGCCATTAGCTCAGAAAGTAGAATTTTTGCTCACAGGACTCCATAGCTCAGAGGGAGCAGTGGTAACAGGTGATGTGAAAGACCTCTGCCTGAGACCCTGGAGTGCCGCTGCCAGTCTGAGTAGACAATTCTGACCTTGCACGGAAACAGATCAAGATGGGTAGCCATGTTAGTCTGTCTGTAGCAGTAGAAATAACCAAGAGTCTCTGTATTCTTGGTGCTTGGGGGTGGGGGGGCAACAGTGTGAGGGCTTCTAGTGTCCTGGCCCCACCAGTGGACCTCCTGACAGCTCCTGGTATTTTTGACCACTGTGTGACAGAGTGTTGGAATGGATGGGCCTTTGGCCTGATCCAACATTGGCGTCTCTTATGTTCTTATGACTCTTCAAGGCCATTTGGGGGCATTTGGGGGTAGGGTGAGACATAAGCTTGTCTCCTTCTTTAGTATCTCTGTGGGAGAAAGCATTTTCATTATGAAGATTAGGTGAGCCCCTTAAGGCATCATGAGGAACAGGAAATTCTTCAGACCAGAGCCTGAGGGTTATGGTGGCTTTGGTGAACTAGAATAGGAAGCCCTTGGGGTACTTTAACTTCAACCCAAAGATACTGTGACTATGTAGAAAGGACATAGCATGCTTATCTCAATCATTAGTAACTGGCAAGGAAAAGCCTGGGCAGTACATGTATTTATTTCATATGACCTTGGACAAGCCATAGGTGTTCTTGAAAAAGAGCAGTTTCTGTCAGAGATCTTTCAACCCCACTTACCTCACAGGGTGTCTGTTGGGGGGAGGGGAAGGGAAAGGAGTTTGTAAGCCACTCTGAGACTCCTTTGGGTTGTGAAGGGCGGGGTAAATCCAATCTCTTCTTCATATATAATTGAGTTTTGGTCCCACAATGTTCTATGTGCGCCAAAATAGGTTGGCTGCATGAACTGCCCATCAGAAGCTGTGCCTGGGTCCCGCCCACAGAGCCAACCATCTCAATATCCCCTTTACCTCAACGGAAGCCGAACGACTATTGAGCCGTTAGGAGAAGATCAGCGAGGAGTAGCCGTGCCATTTGCTTGCCATGCAGGAGGTAGGGTCTCTCTTCCAAACTCTCTCTCTGACAGCAGATGAAAATTCAGGACCACAACTCTGATATTCATTGTAACTGAACAAAGGCATACTAGCCTCATGCTTGTCCTACCTTGCAAGGTTGGTGTAACCATCTGAACCTTCTACCCAGAAGAAAGTAGAACAGATGCCAGCAATAAAAACCAGTGGGTGGAAGAAGGCAGAGCAAAAGGAGGTTAATGCTCTACACAAAACTAAAACATGGACCTTGATGAAGCTACCACCAGGAAAGAATCTTATTGAATGCAAGTGGGTATTGAAGCCAGATCAAACAAAATGCAGATGGAAATGTGGAACATTACAAAGCAAGATCAATTGCTAAAGGCTTCTCACAAAAATATGGTCAGGACTTTGATGAAACCTTTGCAAGGAGAAGCAAATTCACGGCTGTACACGAAACACAAAGATGGATAGTGTACTTTTATTCTCGTGTACATTGATGACTTGATTCCGGGTTATGTCTGGCAAATGGACTGTAACAGTGTGGAAGAGTGCCTAAATAGAAGTAGAAATTAAGGAGCTAGGAGATGTTTCTTACTACCTGGCACACAAATGGAAAGGGAGGAAATGGTTCATTTCTCCTAAACCAGTGACAGAAAATAACTGAACTCTTACAAATGTTAGAAAATGCCAACCCAGTGCAACACCTAAGGAAACTGACTTTCTTAAGAACGCTGAAATAAGTGAGCCTTTATCTAAATACAATCAGTACAGAACCACCACAGAAAAACTTCTATACCTAAGCACCAATAGCAGACCCAATATTGCAAGCAGTATTGGAATCCTTAGTAGAAAGACAAGTGCACGTAGCAAGAAAGAGTGGCTAGATATCTAAAATGAACTTTAAATTTGAAACTAAAATTGCCATCCACCAGTAATCCAAAATTAGTTGGTTACAGGGATGCAAATTGGGCAGGAGACAGTTTAGACTAGAAATCCACAAGTAGGTGCTTGTTCCTGTATGGAGGTGGACCATAGAAAGCAAACTATAGTAAGTTTGTCTTCCTACAGAGTCTGAATATATAGCATCTGCTGATGCATGCAGAGAACTGTTGTGTCTAGACTAGTTCCTAAAGAACTTTGGAGTCGATGAGCAAAAGCCAATTCAATTTACAGAAGATAACTGGAGCTGCATTACGATTTCTCAATCAGAAAAAATGGCTGCACGCACGAAGCACTTTGGTGTGAAGTTTCACTTAGTGTGTGACATCAATGAGAAGGGCCTAATAGAGATGGAATACTGTTCAACAGAAGAGATGGTGGCCAGCATCCTGACCAAGCCTCTATCAAGAGACAAATTCGAAAAACCACAGGATAAACTGAAACTTGAGAGCTCTTGCATTTGACATTAGGAAGGGGTTTTGGATACTGTAATTCTGTATGTGAGATACGGGAGGGAAAGGGTTAAGAGAATTCTCTCACTTGGGTACCGTTGGCCCCATCCCCTCATCAATTAGATGATGAGCCTCTTTGGCTGTTGATTGTCATCTGTTTCATCTTATATAGAACCTCTCTTCTTCTCTCTTACCTGTGCTTGGAGTTATAGCAACCTTTTTGAAATCAATCTGTTCACAATAAGTTAAATGTACCTACATAAATATGTCATGTACTACATTAATATGTCATGTAAGATGTGCTTCTATTCTTATAAGTAAAATTTCTTTCTCTTGTTACCATTTTTGTAATTTTTTTGAACAGCATTTTTTCCCTTGACTGGGAAGCTTCAGTGCTTCCAAAAACTGATTTTTTAAAATATTTAACCCAATAATGTTATCTCAAAAGAAAGGAAACCATATACCAATATATAAAATCATACATGGATATGGGGGGGGGGGAATCTATACTACGCTGCTATTTATTCTTTGCTATAATACTGGAAACTGATGATGTCACTCCTCGGAAATGAGAGAATACATTGATGAGACAATGATTCATCAGAGCTTTCCAGACATGAGGATTTCAATACATTCTGTCTGGGAACTAATGCCCTAGCCTTGCAAGAACATTGCTTTCTATTGTAGCTGTCACCTTGTCAGTAATAGAGGTCGCTAAGGATGCATGACCTCAGTGATCTTCGTGCATTGCTATCTATCTATTGGATATCTGGTCAAATTTAAGGTCTCTCTTTTTTTTTTAAAGCCCTGCTTAAAAAGAATGATCCCCACTGAAATCTTGACTAGTTCCATAAGTTCCATTTGCCAGCGACTATGAAAGTATCAGCTACAGAACAGGTATCTGGGAGAGCAAGACATGAGGCCTTGTTGACTGCTCAGTAAACACAAAGCTCCTTAGTATTATATACATTCTTTCCCCCCATTTTCCCTTTATATCAAATCAATAAATTATTTACATGTAGCATAAGAATCTATGGTAGAAAGTGCCGTCAAGTCACACCTGACTTATGATGACCCCATAGAGTGTTCAAGGTAAGAGGTGTTCAGAGGTGATTTACCATTGCCTGCCTCCACGTCACAACTCCGGCATTCCTTGGAGGTCTCCCATCCCTTTACTAGGCAGAGATCTGATGAAATCAGGCTCGCTTGGCCTACCCAGGTCAGGGCATAAGTATCTATAGCAAGTTATAAAGCTAACTGACATACTAACTTAAAATAACAGTATCTAAAGAGTTCCTTAGCTCTTGTCAGGGATACATTTGCCATTCCTTTAAAATTACTATGTATTACATACCTGTTCTTTTTTTCTTCTTTAGATAAATTGTTCTGCTTCACACGTACAAATTTGTCAATTGATGAAACACAAGTGCTAGTTTGCATATATGAAAGAGTCACCACGGCTAGTACATGCAATACTTCCTGCCATCTCTGGGGACAGATCCACACTTCCTTCTATTCGCCCAATCCTCTTCTTCTACATGACCCCATTTGCTTCCTGAAAACGTTTCTTTGCTTGATTTGGTGGTGGTGCTGGAAAATGCCGTCAAGTCGCAGCCAACTTATGGCGACCCCTCGTGGGGTTTTCAAGGCAAGAGACATCCAGAAGTGGTCTGCCATTGCCCACCTCTGTGTGGCAGCCACGGACTCCCTTGCTGGCCTCCCGTTCAACCACTAACCAGGGCTGACCCTGCTTAGCTTCTGAGACCTGATAAGACTGAGCTGGCCTGGGCCATCCCGGTTAGGGCCTGCTTGATTTAGAACATCTCACATTTTTACAGGAAAAAAGCCACAGTATATTTTATAGGACAGGTCCATTAGAACGGCATTTAAAATGTCATGTTGCAAAGTATTTTGCATATGGAAACCAAGAGTTATAAGATCTATGCAAATCAAAGTATACAAAAAACTCTGCCATTTATTTGAAGAACAAGATGTACTAATGACAAAACACATATGCGTAACAATTAAAAGATACGCAATTAAGCTGTTTTGTCTCCCACAGCCTCTTTGTAATTAGAGTTCATGCTTGAGAGTACACTAAAAACACCACGCAGCAGATTCAAAAACAAAAAATGAATAAGTCAATGAATGGACACACAGATAGGATTACTTTTGAAAGAACACAAATACGCAGCACGCTGTAGGTTTTCATGAACAAATATCTGAAAGCTAATTAATGCTGGCAATCGTATTTTAGCATTTCTTGAACTATCACTGGATGCTGTAATAGACATCCTATAGCCCCCCAACAAATGCCTGTGTTTATTATTCTGTCCCTAAACAATTATTTACTGCATAAGTACAATTCCTTTGCATGTGAATATGTTTACAATTCTAGCCTACACACCTATATATAACACTTGCTTGACAGTGACAGATGCAATTCCTATGGTAGTCATTTTAGATAAACAGAAATTGTGACAGCAGTCCCTTGGGCTCCACGTACTGTAGCTTTGCTCTGACAGCCATCAGACTTGTTAATTTTCAACACACACATAATCTACTCAAACCAGTTTTCCTTCAGTAAAAACAGTATGGCATCATCATATCCATCTTGGTATAGTGATTCCATTTTTTCCTGGCTCGGTGGAAACAGAGACTGATGAAGTCTTATGAGGTTGGCTATGGATAACTGAAACCAAGAAGCAAGATACATGAATACAGCATAAATATATACACAGCATGAATATATACTCAGCATAACATTTTCTGTTTCTTTAGTTTTATATGATTAAATACAATGATGCAGGCTTCATCAGTGACAATATTCAACATTTGCTGTTTATTACTATCCTTTATCATATTTCAATCCTTAACTTTCTCCACAGCTTTTAAAGAGGATTATCCCATTTTATCTCAAGAACAACCATGCCAGCCTTAAAAAAAACCCTTCCTATGCTTCATGGATTTGGACTTTGGACCTGGGGTTTGCCATTCAAAACCCAAATGGCCACCCCAGCTATAACTAGGTCTTCCATTCGCTGTTATCTGAAGAACCTATCTGATCAGCCATCTGATTTATGAAGTGTGAATACAAATAACCTGGAAAATGCAGGGAAGTTTGCTCATTTCTTAAACATTTTAAATTTCTACAATCCAAACTCCAGTGGGATGCTACAGTACAGATAACCATGGTTAGTTTGTACTTTCTATGACTGGTTTTCTTCACTTCTACCAACTTCTCATTTTGTAGATAAACAATGCAAACATTCCAACTATCCCAACATCCTTTGCAGCAGTTCTTTGTCACTATGACTTCATGGTTCTTTCTTTACAGAACCACTTTTTAAAATTCTGTTCTCACTGTGTTAAAATGCACCTAATACAGATAATGGTGGTGTTTGCACTGGGTTCTAAAGCCATAGGCAGTGTTTTTCGTATAAAATTATTCTGTCTCTTTCCTCTTTGAACAAACATCTGGCTTTAAAAGTAGTTATTGTTTTATAAAGATGCTGGCACATGAGGGGGTTAAAACAAGCCCATATTATTTGTTAATTACCTTAACTAGTTGAAGGAGTACGTACTCCTTTATGAACCTGCCCACCCACTGTATCCATCCTTGGAAAGCCTGCTTTGGGTGCCCCTGCCTTCTGAGATTAGGCAGGTGGCAACCCAGGAGAGGGCCGTCTAACTCATGGCACCAAAACTCTGGAACTCTTTCCTCAGGGAAAGTCTTCTATTCCTTTCTGCTGTCAACTTCCATCAGTGGGTGAAGAATTTTTTGTTTGGTTTGTTCTATCAGTAATCCAGGCCCGTAGCTATCCAGGGGCCCATGGGGCTCCCCCCCCCACGTTTTTTTCCGGAGGTCCCCATCTTCTGCTACCCCTCCCTCCCCCTGGCCCCTCACCCCCTGATCAATGGTCTCGTCGCTGGCATTTTCCTGGCTTTCGCTGGCATTTTCCTGGCTTGGGGGGGGGATGACAAATACAGAAGAAAAAGGAGTGGACGGAGCCAGTCCCCGCCTAGGCTCAGACCATTGGCTGCCTATAGTGGGCGGGCTCTAAGCAAAGAGCCTCCCAAATACAAGTTAAACGAGCCATGCCGCTACTTCCTCCTCGTCTTCCTCCAACTCCGGGAAACTGCAGCAGCAGAGGCTGCAGAGAAGCCTTTCTCTCTGTCCTCCTGTACAGCCCCGGGCCATAGCTCCACCTCGTCTCCTCCTTCTCACATTCGGACCGCAGACCAGCTTCTGTATGCCCTTCAGCAGCTGCAGACTGGAGCATGCCCTGAGCAGCCTCCAAACATGCGCAGCTGCGAAGAGAGGGGGAGGGCAGCGGGCAGTAGGGGGCCGGTGGCAACTCTTTGCTGGCTGGGGCAGTCCATGAGCACCCCCCCCC